CAGCGAATCGGGAGCTCGGATTTCCGGGTGATCGATAACTTCACATCGGAGGTTTATATTATAATAAAGAATCACACCGCCACCTCTTCTGGTTCTATCGGTCCGAAGCAGCGACATACCGGGTAACTTGATCTCACAGTCGGATATCTCAGGATTTAACCATGTCGATGTAGTCATAAGGAGGTCCGGCGGTTGGGAGGCAGGGAGTTCTCTAAGTTCGGCCAACTTGCTTCGAAGGCCTTGAGCGTATGTGTACATACAAGATAGGGCTTTTGTGGTTAGGAGTGCGTTGATGGATGTCAACTTTGTGTTAGTTCTTAAACCGGCTGTTAGGTGGCCGGCCATTAATCGTTTTTGGTTTATGTATTTCGGTCGTGTTGCATGGCATTATTGAGCGTTCCTGAACTGATGGTTCACTCGTGCTGTGCTCGGTCCTCCTGTGTGCCGTGGGCGCTGTTGTGTCGGTCTCTCCGCAGGACTGTGCAGATAAGGAATTTGTTGCGTTTGCAAGTTCCATTGAATCGCTTCCGTCTTTCGGTCGTTCGCCTGCTGCCTTTAGCCGGATGTCTGTTGGCAGCCTAGCTCGAAACTTTAACCAGCTATCCAACAGAACTTGCGTCATTCCCTCGGGGTGTAGTATTACTTTAATTAACCTTGGACCGCAGCCCTTGTAGTTAAGTGATGACGGAACTCTTGTCAGGGATTTGGCAATAACGTTGTTAACAGAGAATGCTTCGCGGATGTGACAGCTTTAAGATGTAGGCTACCAGGAAAGCACACTCACACCCTTATCATGGATGATTTTAATGTACATTGTTTATAAACTCCTGCTACAATCGGAGAGGCATTCAAAGTACATGTGCAAGAACTCATAAGCAATGTTAAACATTACAATCGCGTCATTACGCCCACTTGTTTCAGAATGGGTAATAGACTTTCTGCTGGCTATTACGTGCAGCAACCAGTAATATTTGGTTGCTGTATTGCTCATAAGATGCTCTTTGGATCGCAATGATCATGCACTCATCAGTTTCAAATTTATCGGCTATGCGGAATATCACCACCAGAACACTGAGTTGGTGCGCACAATTACAAGCTACGACCGTTTATCCCAATTCGTCAGTGCCACAACCTGCACGCTCCTCGCTGAAAGCCACTCGGAATTCGATTAGCGTAAATTCATCAGCAAATTCAATCAACTGGTTACGGATGCCTCAGAGACAAGGTTTTGCAATAGATGCAAAACCGTTTCTTTCGTGAGCAGCAACACTAGAAAATGGATGAAAATACACAGTGCAGTCTGGCGAGAGTACAGATTATCACCTACGCTGGATGCTTGGGACAATTGCGTAGCCCATTATTATCACTGTACTCAACTGCACAGAGATGACAAAGTGGCATACTAACAGAATACGTTGAAGAATTTCAGCGTTAACCACGAACTGCTGTACAAATATGTCCAAGATTGTCGTAATGAGAGACAGGGAATTCCTCCACTCCAGACGACTGATGCTCCAACAACAACAGCCATAGAAACAGCGAACGCATTACGGACAAATCTGCTCCCAATATTCAGAGGGTCTTACCACCAGGCCATCTTCCAGCTTTTGTTTACCCGCCTCCATTACTAACTCACATCGCTTTTACTGCCGAAGCTGTACTACAGAAGCTGACATACCTTCGCGATCCCAGCTCTCCGGGAGTCGTCAACACGAGCCCAGAGGCACTGGGAGCCGCAGCAAGATAACTGGCAAATCTTTGACCCAGTTTCCTCAGCGAATTTTAGACCAGGACCAGATTCCTGCGACGTGAAAGCTTCGAATAATAACTCCGAGTAACAAAGGCGGAAGTAGGACTGAGCCCACACACTACTGCCCACTGTCCCTTCTCCCTGTATTGTCCTATATTGTCGTTGCCAATACGTTGCTGTATCATCTAGAAAATCGTAACGCTGTTACTCCCGAACAACTCGGTTTTCGTCGAGAGCGATTGTGCACAACGAATTTACTAATCGCACGGAGTAGTTGGACCGAGTCAGCTGACACTCGATAAACGGTTGACGTGAGCTACATGGATTTTTCCAAGACATCCGAACCTTTAGATCATCGGATTCTAGTTTCCAAACTCCAATATTACGGGATCGGTTACCCTCACTATAACTCGATCGCCAAATTGCTCTTACAAAGACTATTAGTGATTAGAGACCGGAGTTCTTATCTGACCCCATACCAGTCGAGTCTGGTGTGCCGCAGAGCACAGTTTTATTTGCACGGTTGTTTTTGATTTTCTACAATTAGTTTGCACGAACAATGGCTTCAAATTTGCTGCTGTTCGTCGACGATAGCAAGATATGGCGCCGGATTCAGGTGGATGCCGAGCAGAGGTTACTGCAATGCGAACTAGATGCGATACATGATAACTAAATAAGTAAACTTTTATTCTAGACAATGTGAGGCACATTTTACCGGCAAGATCATGTGGAGCTAACAGACTGGGATTGAAATTGTACAAAAATACATGTTTGGCATAACAGTGGGTGTACGTGGATGGGTGTATATACGTGTGCGATTGTGTATGAATGTAGCTGTGTAGCATATTTGCTAATGTGCTGCAGCATTTTTGACTGTTTGTTATCGTCAGGAATGTGAGAACAAACGATTGGTCAACCCGAAATCTGTTACTGTTCAAGGGGGCCAAATGCATGGTACTCTCCATACTCTCCACACCAGAGTATATCTATTCCTACAAGCTAAGAAAGCAAGTACTGCAGCGCTCATCCGTCGAACGCGACCTTGACGTCCTTGTTTAGGATTACTTGGGATGTTCCTGATAGGCAAATGCATCGAGAACTGGTAATCAGCACGTCGGCTTGCTACGACTGGCGTTCTGACGACTAGACACCACTATTTCCGGAGAGATGCTTAATGGGTATGTTCGCACCATGTCGAACACGCAATCCAAGCCTGGCAGCCATGGCTGAAGCACGACCTTACTGCACTGGACCAACGTCAAATCCGTCTTCTAACTACGTCACTGGAATGCGCCACCTTCCATACGAGCACAGGCTGAAACCTTTTGGAGTATGCATTGAGCGGTGTTGCTGTTTATTAGGCGACTTGATTATGGCGAACTTGGTTTTATATACTCTAAATCCTGTGTGCAAACTCTTTACTGCAACACAGCAATAACATCACACTTAGGGGCCACTGCGTGGAAGTTGTCGAAGAGTGCAGCGGCCTGTCGTGTGGTAGAAATTTCATTTCCATTTTTGTGTGTCAAACATGGAATTCTGTCCCCGAATCTGTTGTTTCAGCACCCGCCATATCTATATTTAAAAGTCGGTTGGATGACGCACTCCCCCACTTAAATTTGTTGCTTGACGGTTCTCTCAATCGTACTAACGGGAAATATCTTAGAGTTACGTTTTCTCGCCTGCTGAGGCTATGGAAACGCTCGGGGTTTAGGACTACCGCATCAAAAACGATAAGTCCATTCTGTTGTCAGAAGAACTACGAAATACAATTTTTTATTGACGTTTTGCGATGCTCCGTCAGACTACCCAACAGGGCTTTTAAAGTAATGCATCTGAATGCGTATGAAAGTATTGTTCATTTTTAATGATAGCGGTTTCTGCTGACATATATATATATATATATATATATATATATATATATATATATATATATATATATATATAGTGTCACAGTAAGCTTACGCAAATGGAGATTATTGGTGGCTTACGTCGCACTACCGATAGCTCCATTCACAGAAATCATGTCATATTTAAACCCGGATGAATAAGACTGGGCAACAGTTAGATGGGAGTCTAGTGCATCTGAAAACATGCGCTTTCGTTAATTTACAGCACGAAGTTTATTATTGCTTAACCTACTCAAAGTGCATTTGTTTTGTTGACAGTACATCCGTTTTTAGAAACTTCTCTGTGAGTCCTGTGCTGAAGCTTTCTTGCCTTTGCGGACTTACTTCCCATTCCTTGAAGTCTATATAATATGCGTTGTGTCTAGCTTCCTCCCTCATTTCTACGATCTCATATTTGGCACGTATTTTACGTGTCATTGCCATCGACTAGTGTCCCAGGCGCCACCTAACGGGAGCCAAGGTTCATCAACGGAGTCGGCCCACATTTCTTTAACATACACAGCAGCAGCATCATGCGTACCAGACGTACACAAGGCGATAGCTAAGATTTCGCCTGCTCCAAACTGGGGGCATGAAGTTACTCTTTGATTCTGGTACGGTCACGAGGAGAATGCAGCCCATGTCTCTTTCTCCCAGCGTCACCATGATCGAGGTAGCAGCATTTCGACAGCTAGGCATCTTGTCATTATTTACATCAAGAGCAGTCACACCGGGGATATCCAAATGCAAACACAGAATATGGAAAAATTAAACACGCAAACTGGACAGTAAATGTTAGGCAGTATGACAGAACAGAGCAAATCAAAGAATACACATCCAGTCTGGTCAAGTTTAAGGGGGAGCCTTGGCACTTATAAGTTATGGGATATCAGCCGATTAACGTCGAAAAGGCAAGAAAAAACGTGCAAAATAAACAGTGGGTCTGCAGAGAATTAATAGAACAAAGCAAATAATCAAACGTAGAATCATTCACTTCTGCTTATTATGCCGAACAAACGCAGGTATGTGTCCAACTGTGGTGAGGAAGCATAGTACACGTAACACTGATCTCAGCATCAGGTGCAATATATATATATATATATATATATATATATATATATATATCCCGTTGAATTGATCGGGTCAGTCCAGAACGATAACAAAATATCCGTTAGGAACAAGCCACGTTGCCTAGGACAAGGACCCACTTTCCTATCTCCCAAAACGATCCGTGCAATAGTTCTGGTACTGTGTCTGAAATAATAATACTATTTCTTACTATAAACACTTGATGATTATGATAAAACTAATTGGCGGACCATTGAGTAAGGTCCTCTGGACATCATATGATAAACACTGACCTCGCTCGATGCTGGACAAACTTGTTTGCATCTGTAGAACTCGTTGATCGGCCTCCGTTAGTTCGCGCTTTAACTGAGCCACCTGTTCTGCGTGCACTTTCGCCCTCATTTCTGTTGTATCGCGTTCTCGTTCCATCTTAACCAAGTGTCGCAAGAAGTCCCGTAACACCATCCGCACCGCTTCAGGATCTAAATCCGATCCAGGCAATCCACGGTAACGAATACTACTCAAGTAAGATCGCCAGGTATGTAAACGTACAGGGGACTGGTCTACAAGGGCCAACTCTCCAGCGGTTGGGTGGGTTCTTGACTGCATTATTTCCAGACAGGTATTCTTGCTTCTATCCCTTGGGTCCGGATAGCGCTCTGTCGAAGTTGGTCGGACCAGTGCAGCATCCATTCTCTCTGTAGTGCAAACAAGAACCACTCAGTGTGATCTATGAATTGCATTATTCCACGCACCTCACCGGTGTGTTTATTTGCAATCGAAGCATACAATACCGAACAATGATTAAAAAGTAAGTTGGCTTTGGTGTTTGGAATCTAAGACTGTTGTACCCTTCGCAAATACCGCAGATCTATGGCCACCCATTTCTTTATTGCAACAAAACCTCTACGGGCTTTAACCGATAACTTCGGCCAAGTGAACGATTTAAATGGAATTTATGGTAAGAAGACATGACTATGTAAAAGTAAGCGCCATTAGAAGCACTGGTTAAGCTTCCGATTTCTGTGTACTTGGTTGTCCCGAATTTAACTTTCAATTCAATTACCTCCATGTATCCGATTCGACACTTAATATAAAAGTTCACCTCGGAAGACCAACAATACATTCCGTTGAGAAATGCCCATTGTGTGATGAATTACCACTTGTTCATGCGACCTGTCGGTTTTGTCTTGCCCATGCGGCTACACCATCCGTCTCCTAAGGGTGGGGGGCGGGGGAGGGGGGAGCTAAGCTCATCACCTTTTCGATGAACTCCTTGTCGTGAGAATAGCCGTTCAGTGCTCTACTGCATATATAATTGCTACCTAGATGAACACAATACCTTCTGGTAAAGGACAGCAATTCACCTTTTTATTGCAATTGCTGAACGATATGTGAAGTAAATGACAGACAGATATCTAAGGGATACACCATCACCCCAAATGCTTATAGAGCGACTTATTTCTACTTTATAGGCTGACCTTCTTGGTTTTCATCACTCCGCAAGTAAGCATAAACTTTACAACTAGCTCCAAGTTCAAATTGGAAGAGGGAATTATCCCAAACGGAAATGCTGGTTTAGAAAGCGGCTAGACAGTAGCGTGCTGAAACGGAGAGTGCAAGCGGATATCTAATCAAGCGGGAACAGGATAGACCTTGTTATTGGATGTATCAGGTAAAGTGGTCTGCCCACATGGTTTATAACGTTTGAGTAAACCAAGGTAAGCTCACTGACTTTTGCTTGACTGAATTCAGTCTAGTAAAGATGTTTGTTTTAGTGAATAACAACATCCACGCTATTTCGAATGCAGCACAACAGTGCCGTCACATCCAGTTACATCCTCATAAATTCATTTCTAAGTAGATAAGTACTATTACCCTCTCAGTCTATGACGACCACGTATACTTAACTGGTACATCACGTAGAACAATTTGTTTGCTTATGAAGAACTGAGTTTTGCGACGCAAGCTACCTCAGCTCCTACGTATGGGTACTAATTAAATTTTTGATTCCACTTATGGGGCAATAACCCGCCTGCCTTAATTAACGTACAGCGCGTCATTCGAGAGACCACGCAAAGCAATCAGATGGTGTTCCCTTCAGTTGTTACATTAACAACAGGGAGTATAGAATTTTCACGGTTTCATGTGGACATCATGTTAAGTCCATTGTTGAGCGGTTGTTTTGGTTTATTTGTCAAAGTGAATGTAAGAAGTTTACAGAAGAAGCATTTTCCAGCGATTTAATCTATTGAGATTGATTATGCATCAATTTCGAACATTCCGGTATGGTCCCACATGACAGCACAACATCTTGAGGATTGACTGGATCGGTATGACACTACTACTTTTGCCAGCTGACCTACTGTTCTGGAAGCGAAAGGTCATTGGACAACCGGTAAACGTAGCCGAAGTTTAACAGCTCTATAGTGTTTAGGGTAACGTTCCGGTAAACAAGTTCCTTTGTCAAGGTCATCTGATGTCTGTGGTCTGCATTTGACGGCTGAGGACTTGAGCGTCTCATTCAGAATAGTAAACAAAATGTATAAAAGGAAAATATCAACACTAAATGCCTGCAGCAAATCTGAGGTTGAATACAAATGTGCGCTTTAAAAAGAAAAATGCCACAAATGTTATCCCATTGGTTTTTAAGCTTTCATGCATTGTCGGCTAGCCACATCCTAACACACTCAGTTTAACGACTCACTGATCAAACCTGGTTGGTCCCTTCTATCAAGTTCTCTGCTTGAGACTGCGCCACCAACACCGAAAGCAGAGACGACATTCAAACGGTGACGCAGGAAGCGGTCATACTTGATGAAGCCGCCAGCTGCGTTGGTGTGAATCTCGAGTGTGAGAATCCCGGAATAGCAATATCGAGTGCCCTTGATGTCACCAACATCAAAATGTCAGCATCACCATCAGTACTGACTAGCGATCGCCCCATACCAAAAGCTTCGTGGGCAGGACACGTACCCAGCCCTCGATACGAGACAGGGGCCTAAATACAAGCTCCAGCACCGGAAGCATGCCAATAAGTGGGCAACGGTGTGGCAAAGACACGATAGTCACCCGTCAACAGCTTGCTCACTGAAATGACCGGTGCCTATCATTAATCTTCAAAAAAGTCAATCTCATTCATTGCCTCGTATAAGAAACCCCATTAGTATAATACCACACAGTCTCATTAAAAATTATATCTTGGATCCACCTGCTTATTGTCCGTCAGTATATAGCAGAACCGATCGAGACAAGTTTGAAAATAGGCCCAAATGGACAACGTTGCCCCCTAGGTCACCTCACCTCAGTGCAGCTACTCTTAACTAGGCGTTTTCCTTCGACTCCCTTTTAACGGATGCGGAGTTCGTTCAGTAGCCATTCAAAACACTGACACTTCCGACGGACGCCACCTATATAGCATCACACTTCCTACAAATTATTCGGACGACACGGCCGAATCTGCACCACTTACACAAGGTGCCAACTACTTCCTTGTTCCTAACTGTTCTAGGGTTTCTAAGCAATAAATTCTTCATACTCCTGAACATATTAGCGGTAGATCAAATTGCAACATGTATGTACTCACTTTACCTCCACACGGATCTCAATCTCAGTGTTTCAGGTAATCATATTTCAAACATCACTAAGCCCCCATCCGCTGAAGTATTCAAGGTCTTTTCATCAGAAATTGGCACCGAACTATTTTAATAAATAATGAATTAGCCAACCAACCTCAATTCAGGCGTATTTTCTGCTCAATGTATGCTCCCACAAAAAGAAAATCCCTATCTAATGCACAGGCCATGATAGTGATCGAGACGTGGTTAACGGGAATCATTGCTGAGTTCAACTACCCCCACATATCGGGATACAATGCATTTGTTGGCGGTTGCAAGTCTGGTCTATTTCAGCGTTGCGTTATCTTTATACACAACACATTGCCTGTTTTAACAGGCAGGGAATTGCCTACAGGAGTCTGTTTTTTGCTAAATATGCAACTGGGTAGCAACCTTTTACTCCTGGGGTGTGCATGCGCACCCAAATTTCAGTAATGCAGAAAGCGACATTGCACGAACTGTTCTGTCAGGTGGCAACGTATCAAGCAGCCAATTCGAAAATGATAGGTGAAGATTTCAATATGCCAGACATCTCACTGACCTCAAGCCATGCGCCGACTGGAGCACTACACACATACGGATGAACACAGCACGTTACAACTAACCAAAAAAAGGACACCTTGGCTAAGATAGTTACCGACTCCGCCAACTCCGCTGATGTCTGGAACACTTCCCTGGTACTGACCACAGGGTGGTCACTTTTTTTCAGAAATCATATCTTACACCCATTAACGACTGCAGCAAACACACTAACGTTCTCAAGATATTATAAATCAGTTGATTGGGAAGCGTTTGCTGCTTTGCTGAGATCCACCCAGTGGGACCACTACATAACCGACGACCCGCAGACCACAACCGATAATCTCTACAGCAACAGTATTCCCTGTTTCGACATATCGGCTCCTATAAAACACAGATACTATCCCTCAGGTTACGAAAAGACTGTTTCACGTAAAACATTTGCCCAGCTAAAAAGTAGGTTACAGTCTACCGCAAGACGATTGACTTCTCATTCATGATGCAACACCATAAGTTGGTGAGGTTGTTGAAGATGGCAAATCACAGCAAACTAATCGCTGATAAAGTTACTCCTTAATAGTCGGTTTAAAAATCGTGGAATAAGCAGTCTCAAAACACAGAAATACCAAACGCAGTTACGGCCCAATCTCAATCGCAGCATCAGATGCCTGCAACGTAACATAACACATACTAACGGAATGTTTGGCTAATATCCGAGCGCCTCCTTATCGTGAATACTGAACGCATAAGTTTGGTGTTGCCTGCAATCCGAGTGCAGCAGCTCAGTTGTCAGGTTTGAGCTCCTTGGCGTACACAAACGTAGCAAGTGCATGAAATTATCCTACTTCGGCGGTCCAGACAGATTCACCCGCAGTTGGGAAATTCGGCATGAACGACTCCTGCTATTGTTGAGTGTGATCAATTCATCCATGAGTTCTGACACCGTGCCAACAACAAGAGAAGAAGCAATGGTTGTGCCGCACCATAAATCGGACTCCCAATAAGCTACAAATCTATGGTATAATGATGATAGAGTAACATGTTAGACTTAGAAAAGTCGAATTCTCGCTGTCGAGTAGGCTCACAAACAACACTCAGTCCGGCTTCTTGGCCCAATATCGGTACACAGATAATGATCAAAATGGTTGACGGTATCCGGATTAGTTCGCAATGTGGACAGCCACAAGACGCCTGCGCCTACAAAGGGACCATGGGTGGCTTGTGCTGCATCACCCACAGCTCCATCCACACACCCTGTAGCGCCCAAAAGATAACTGCTATCTTTCATCGACAATTTACATGTTGACCGATTGTACATTACTCCTTCTTGTTTTAATCCTCCTTACAACCGGCTCATCACTCGACAGCCTTGTAAGTTCCCCTACTCACGTGTTCGCTCTTGTCTAGCTTCATCCGTCCGCTTCTTATTGTAGCCCATCGAATACAGCCCGTTGTGTCCGACTCTAGTTGCCTTCTGATATCCGCGCTTAATTTCGCGCTCCGTCTCGGACTAGTATTAACTAGTCCTACAACCCAATATCCAGTGTAAACCCGAAGGAATAAGACCGGGAGGCATGCGGATGGGAGCCACGTTTCATCAACGGAGCCGGCCCACACTCCTTCACAGGCAAACACAAGCACACTGTATTTTGGAATCAACCGCACACAAGGCGGTGGCTGGACCGTAGTCCGCTCCATACTGAGTGCACGGAACCACTCTTCGAGCCTAACACGGCCACAAGGACCGTGCACCCTGTCCCCTCCAGCAACGACCAACTGTCTCCTGGAGCCAGTATGGACGAGGTAGTGGATAATAGACAGGTAGGCACCTTGTCAACATGTACATCAAGCGCAGCCACACCGGGGATATCAAGCAACAGTCAATCACTTGAAACGACAAGATGAAATAAAATATATCGCATAATGCATACAGACACGGCGACAAAAAATTTCAAAAAATGAGCATATGAATCAAATTGGTTGCCAACTTATCCGCTACAGGTTCAAGAGGTTCGAAAATATATTTTAAGAAAATGTCACAATAGCGAAAATTTTCTCAAAATTAACTACTGACTCCTTCATCACACACACGCGTGACGTGCGTGCTCTCGGGTTATTTGGATTATTCCCCTCTATCCTCTCTCCTTTTGCTCGTAGGGTCGTCACTGTACGCTCATTCGAAACGGCTCGACGTGCTCTTTCCAACGCACAGCGTATTTCGAATCCACACATTACAGACGACTATCTCCCGTCGATTTTTACATTTTCCGTTTTCTCTGTGGAGGTCTACACGAAGAATTTCTTTCGGTTTGCATCCTACACTACAAATTGTGACCTTTTTTTGGAAGCCCAACATTAGGGCTCTTTAACAACTACACGACTGCTTTTATCGATAGCTGCGTAACGCAGATACAGACAGCAATATAAGGGATCTACCGCTACTCTTTCGATTGTATCTCAGTCACTGAGGCTGCCACTTCAAATCAACCCACCGGCCACAGATCACTAGTGCCACACCAAGAAGCGCTCTGACCAGATCGACAGCCTGTGCTTCGTTCCGAGGCCTGTCTGGATTCACCTGCAACCGCTTGTGACTTGTCACGAGGACCGCCTGTGCTGACCCCATTACTAACCGGTGTGTCATTGGAAAGGTGAGACAACAACAACACGTTTGGAATTTGTAGAAAGTAGAAGTCACGACTAAAATCCACGCACAATAATGTGCCTCGTGGACCGGGAGTCGAATCCCGGTCCACGAATTTCCGGTCCGCTGCTCTACCACTGAGCTACCGAGGGCTGACGATTAGGTGCGCAAATTTTAGTACATGACTTCTGCTTGGTGCGCGACGTATTGCCAATGGGCTCACAGTACCTGTCCTGGTGTTGCAGATTGGCTCACTCACGTTTGGAATTGGTGGAGAGATCGCGTTTCCAAAGCAACAGCGTGTGCAACTCGGAGACGGAGATTCAAATAGTTCACTGCGGTGCGTTCTTTTTGTTCCTAATTAAATCGCACAGTTTCCAGGAGTTGCCATTTTTTTACCAGCATTATATTAGACGTGGATTTTCAGTTAAGGATCAAACTTTAGCACCCATTGTCTAAGCTCCTCTGATTTGCTTCAGTGTATCTTACTTCGGTTTCATTCTCCTGTCTACAGTAGGGACACGCTCGATGAGGAAAAAAAGTATTATGGGTCAGGATTTTTCCATTTTAGTTCAAAGTCTGAGACAGCGAACTAAGGTACTTCACACAAAGACTGGAAGCAGTGGTAAGGAAAATACCCAAAGCAGTGTAGGCGCTGTGGGAAATTCCCTTGGACTACATGCTGACCTGAGAAAGACACCTGAAAAATGTCCATCCGTAGCTGAAACTGCATACGCTGAACTTGCATCAAAGGTCGACGTGCTCACATCGATATTGCAACCTTTGCAGAGTCTAGCGGTCTTATTTGAATCGCACCGAAATATTGATAGAATGAACCTCATGAAGTGCAGTATACTGATAGACTCCATTTCGACCGAAGTACACAATCGAGTACACTGTTCACGCAATGTGGTGGTTTTTAATGTGCCAGACAATTTACCATTAAAAACTGTTCAGAAAGTGCTTCTCACTGCATGCGGTATGCAATCTTGTTGGTCTAGCTGCATCAGACTACGCAAAATGTAATACGTTACGCGTGTCCCATAGTTTTCCAGTTGCAAAATGAACTTATCGCTAAACAATTCATTCAAAAGCGTAATCTCATCGGGCTTAATACAGCTTTCAAAAGTATGAGAATTATGGAGGACAAAACCTCGCTACAACGAAAGATAAGGAGGAGAACGTCTGAAGTAAATCAGAATACCCAACAGCCATATGGCGCCCCGCATCCAGTTGATATTGCTCCACTTAATGGCCAACACAAATGTGAGGATAATACCCCGCTTGCTGCAAATAGGGACGAAGCGGTTAATGATAAAGTGATTTTTGAAATTAACAAGGAAACACATGAATAAGCGGACCACTCGATTGCATTAGATGCTGTGTCTGGCAGAACACCTAATTCTCGCACCTCGGAGCTAAGATCAACGTCAGATGCAAAATTGGTTACTGGAGGACGTCCACTTATGTAAGTGGAAAAGAGGGATGGTGACATAAAGTATCCTTGTTGAGTAGCTGAGAGCTTACACTGTCAAGTCTTTTACTTACCTCTTGGTGGAGAAGAAGATTTGGAACGTCTACTCCTCAATGTGGATCGCACCCGCATTATAGCAGGTGGGTACATTTCCGTACCTTTGTAAAATCGATGGCGAGTGCGTTGAAGCAACTTCGATTTGCTCATAACATGATCGATCGCCAGCCGATCATTCATTATTCGCTCGGCCACACGTCTTAGTTCCCATTCATCGTCAGCGTCATCTTCTTGTCCCCGAGTGCGAATTGCGGCCTCCAGTAGCTCGTAGCTGCGCGGACCACCGGATCTACGAGATCGGTCGTCTCCGGTATCCTCCAACCCGTCCGTGGCGCTTGTGTCTGCTCCTGGGTGCGATCGGAATGGATCCACTTTGTCCAATAACTCCAATGCGTCAGCATATTGCGACTGTCGGAAGCCTAGTAGCCGTCGTAGAATACTGTGTATAGCAGATAGACGTGCCTCGGCTTCTTGTTTGCTAGCCATTGTGTCCGTCAATTCGGATTCCAGCCCTAAGAGGTGAGCCTGTGTCTCTGCCAGCGAGCCGCGAAGTTCACTTATGACAAGGGTTGATTGTTCCACCTTCAGATATTATGAGAAAGGAATGGGAGAAAATTCTCCAGTCAGATAACAGATAGCATAACCGATCATTCACTATTCTCAAGCAAGAATAACCGTAATTTCTTGTGGAGCATAGTTAGGACATTATAAGTACCAGAATCGCTGGATTAAAAGCTAACTCGATAATGAAGTACCCTCTTACTAGCCAAGCAAACGTAAAGGATATCAGAAGGAGTTTGTTATGGGCCCTTCAAATATCCCCGCAAAACCGCGCCAGAAACTCCGGCATAATGTCTTTGGACAACGGGGTCCAATTCCTCCCCACAACGCACCAGCATTCGTCCACTTCGACACGTGGCCGAATTGCGCACCTGTCGACAATGTTCTTTTACAAACTACCACCCGGTCTCTGTAGCAATTTTCCCTAACTTAATGACCCATCACATTGGCTGTGATTCACCTTTTATTGGTCGTAAAAGAGCCTTCAGACGACCACTTGCCTTTCTTCCTCTTCGCCTTATTTGGGAGTCGGTCGGGTCACGTGATTTTGTGTGCGTCGTTAGCCGGACAGCGTTCGCGTCCAAGTCACTAGTGCGCGTCTACCGTAACCCATCTCGTGTGCGTCCGTTTCGAGGGCTCATCGTCTATCCGAATACATGCGGCTAGGATCGTTTTCACGTTCGCTTAATTTCCGTCTCACCAGCGCGTATCCCGGGCTAAGCTAATGCCATCATGTCACGCAAATCCGTTCGACTGGCCGGCGTTCCAAGCTGTTACCGTAGGCGTGCTCTAATCGTGCCAGTGACAATCTTATCAATCGACGTGCCATCATAACAGAGTTATATGCTCTGAAGAATTAATCGGGCAGGAAGATGGAATTCTTTCCTCATGTTCTGGTCCCAGATCCTTCATGGGTTTGTAAGTTTCAGTGGTCTCACAGTCAGTTTGCGACCGTCTGTGCCTTTATGACGACGAAACACCAGCAAAGACCGCTGTTGTGCTGCTGAGATCTATAAAGGACCACATTGGAAGGGCTGCTTGTACTGTAAGTCGGCGTTTTAGGTAACCATATCGACGAACTGCTGATGAGTTCTATAGCGACATCGACGCTAAAGCAGCTGTTCACAAGCGTCCGCCAGCCAGCACCTGGCTACTGCAGTTATAAATAACTGATAGATTCTTTTTCGAACAAGTGGGTGTAAATTCTCTTCTTCTGAGGTGGATAAAAAGCCAAAACTGAAGGTGTAGGGAACTAACTTGCGACTTGCGAACAACTGTTACCGAATCAGCCACCGAACACCACTGTTCACCTTAATATTCAGCTAGAAGGCAGACATTGATTTGTTTAGTGAAGCCCTTAGCATCCATCAAATGCGAGTTCGAGGCACCATAGCCCGCTGGCATACCCATATTGATCCGTTAGAGAATCTTCATTTAAACTCGTGAGTATAGCTGAGATACGAGGAAGATTAGTTAGAAAAGCCTAAAATGACTTGTGCGATGGAAACCTTCAGAACGTTTCTCCGGTTACATTAGTGATATGAGGTGACGATTCCGCTTCTTAAAAATCGGATCAGTAGCAAGTGGCTTAGTCTGTCATCCAGCGTACAACCACTGGATTTCAAGACCTTCTATGGACCTTTACGACTCTGTAGTAACAAATAGATTGATTGAAGAGCGTTTCATCCCAGTTTATCAAGAAGGTATTGGATGAACGCAGCTACGACAGCATGAGTCTCTATCAGATGCAATACATCACCACGTATGTGCATTTCAGTTAGTTCGAAGTAATATCATACTATAAGATTTTTCATACCAAAATGTAGTCGCTGTCTACTTACGGCTAGTAGTTTTTGCACAGTGTGCGTTTGGAGCTCTCAATTTAATTGCTGGTGAATTGTGGCAGCTCCCTGGGTTTTCGATGTAACGGTGGACGTGAATAGACGTTTCACCTGATCCCAATTAGATCCGGTAATGCCAGTAAGGTAGGTGAATTCACTGTGAAGCGAATACACGTCACAACTCGCTCGACTTGGCTGGCCTCGATGGAGGGCGGAGTCAGTTTACGCACGCACAATAGATCAGTCGTCTGCGACTATTAGCAGAGTAAAGATGATCATTTTCGTGAAACCCATTTTCGCCTCCCATGCAAGCCCGATGCAGCAAAATATTGACATCAAATTTTGTGTGAAACTCGGCAAGTCTGCAGTGGAAACTTTCCCAAGCTAAACATGTCCTTTGGTGATAATTGTTTATCTAAACTTCAAGCCTAGCGGTGGCACAAGTCTTTTTTGAAGGCCATGAAGAGGTTAGAGATGAAGTCCGCACTGGAAGACCGTCAACGATAACTACCGACGAAAATGTGTCGCAGGTGACTGAACTGTTAAATCAGATCATGCATTGAGTGTTTGTTTAATGGCACAGACACCAAACATTTTAGCAGTATCGTTCAGGAGATTGTGACAAACAAACTGCGAATGAGAAAAGTGCTCGCGTAGCTGGTGCCCAAATTGTTAACAGATGACCAAAACTCGCACTGAGTTGAAACGTGCCAGGAACTTTGGGACCTGTGCAAAAATGACTCATACTATTTAGGCAATATCATCTCTGGTGATGTGTCTTGGATCTGCTTTTCTGCTCCCAAGCAGGGATATCATTTCGGGACATTTGAGAAAGTCGAAGAGGTTTGCACCAAGGCTCTAAAACGTATTATAATAAAGATCCACCCTGAAGCTTTTACGGTGCCTGGAATTCTCGCTGGGAACGATGCATCGACGCAGGTGGAGTATATATTGAAAGCTTTTAATGTGTTGTAACGATCAGATCCATAAATATTTTTAATCGACAGTGACATTACTTTTCGGGTTAAACCAAGTATATGCAAAGCATGGGGATCAACGATGAAGAAACTGCAGGCGAACCGAATGTCAATGGAACAATTATCATATCCTCAGAAATGACAATTCAAAGTGGAATGCTTTTTACGGACCTCAAACCGAAGCCTCAAATGTGACAACTTGTGAATACCTCCTGTTTACGAGTGCAGATACATTACTACACATAAGCGATGAAATGGAACAGAGTGAGTAAACTAAGAGCGTATCCCATGCAATGGATAAGGAACTAAGCACTCATCTCACTCTATGGATAGTCCGATCGACTTCCCATCCTGGTTACCATCTACGTATCAGAACGTCATGTTATTAGGATCTTGACGACTATCTGTAACGAGCTAAACTGAAGAGTGTTCAAAGTTTCGTATAGCATAGTACCAATAACGGCGAGCTATGATGCGGAGAAAGCTTTTGTCAACGCTGACTGTAACCACCGGCCGCTTTCGGTCACGTAGGAGCATCCCAACATTGTTCCGCCCTCATGCAATGTTAGCGGAAAAATGAGAGAATACTCCACTTAGGGTGCCGATCCGATGGAAGGCTAACATGGGCGAAACCGCGACAACGCATAAGTTTTTGGCTGCGCACAAATAGCGCAGTTTTCAGTATGTCCTAAACTCTTCACTTTAAACAAGCATCCTTGGGTAACATTTTAGGATACAAATAAATGTACTATAGAAGCAAGTAGACATAACTTGAAGAGATTTTCCATGTATCATTGTTTCTTGAGAATTTATACATTAAAATAGTGCATACATTCTTTGTCTACTTAGGCATGCATTTGAATTCGTCGAAACCAACCTACCTTCCCTTCCAGGTTCTTTTTGGTTTCGTCTAATCTTCGGTAGTCCCGGTCCCACTCCTCTGCTACTTGTGTTGATGCACGCTCCCTGGAGCGTAGAGCATCCTCAGTGTCCTGCAACTGACGTTCCAAGCTGCTTAATTCAGACTGCAGCGATGACTTCGTACCCTCCAGCTCAGTTATGCGTTGTTTCATACTGGAATTTTCACTGTTTGAAGTGGATGAGAGAATTTTGTATCCATAATGATACCTGTTCGAGGAACAGTTCAACTGCTCAAAAGTCAAACATTGCGACTGCATATAATTGTTTTTCGCTAACTTCCCCACGAAATGTGTTCAACAACACACAGCATATGATCAAGCATTAAACCTGAAATGGACATCTACTAGGGACGAGTGATATACACTCAGAAAGGGATGTAAGGCATCGAATGCTGTACGAAACGACGATGTTTACAAATAGCTAACAAGTTGGCAACCATACAAACCAAATTATCTTTAAGCATTTGTGTCATGTATTAATTCGATAATTAACATAAACTCCAGACATCGATTAGTAGGCCGATGTCCATTTTTATGTAGGTCAATCAGGATCACCATTATTTGTACATTATTCATTGGCTCCTTTTTGGATGCCACCATGTGAAATCTCTTCAATTTTATTGGCCAACTCTCTTCGTTAGCTGCTGCTCGGGTCAGTTCAGTGCTTTTTTGTTTACAACCATGTTGCACACCTTTTGCGCTAGGTTGAAAATTCTGATCAGCTTATTCCCTTCATGCACTCATAAGCAGTTGGCTGGCCCATCGTGGACATTATGAGGAGGTTTGATTAGATTTCCGTCATTCGCTTCTGTGTCTGCTTCCTTGGATTGAGCAGCCAACCTCTCACTAACTGCACACTCGTGATCAATAAAAATGCGGGAGGTGCAACGCCGCTAAGCTAAATTTACCGATAAATGTGTAAGTAAATAACGGGGATAGTACAATGGGGGTGAGAAGAGTTTACGCTAGCTTTACCTTGTATCGTCGAGACAATGGCTAATACGCTCAAAATGTGGTCATGTGATTTGTTTGACTACTGGGAGGCAGCTACCGTGTGACTTGTTACGTTTTACAGTCTCCAAGGCATACCAATGCGTAAACTTGATTACGGGTCACTCTGAGAGCAATTAGCCTCACACAACCCTGTGCGCACATACCACACAACTCTGTTCGATTTGGGTAGCAAACATCAAACGACGAGTAAGGCTACGAAGGTATACTTTCACAATATTTACCCACCGAGTATGCGAGCTTTAGTTAACTACATTGCTAAGAAAGTCCATGGCCTCTTTTTGTCCGTTGTACTATCGCACGACCCGATCCTCTAAAACAATTGACAAAGAGTGCTATGTGATGTAGATAATTGGTGTCTACATACAAATAAGCCATTCGACTAACATTTTCACGAACCACCGACACTTTCGTCCCACTTCTCTCTATCACTGTGTACGTGTGCTTCACTTCTTCACATCGAGGAATATGCTAAAGACATGGAGATGAGTGCGCTGTCTTTGGTAAGGGCCGGGCATGTGTCGCAGCGCCTAGAATTGCCTGATCAGTGCCGTTTGTATTACTGTGGAACTCTGAGTTTGGGATTCAGAAGGATACAGTTGGAAACGTGCAACAAGTTATGTGAACCATTGTGTAGTTTTTTGGATGAGTCTACAATTTGGTCTTATTACCCATACCGACATTAGTGGTGTATTTCTGGGTGCACATAGTAAATTGGAAACCGCCGAACGCTCAGCCGGAACGTGGTTCTTTGGAAGCGAACTGCATGGTTGACCGAATGAAATTGTCCCGAACAATATAAGACACCGATTGTAAATCCGGTGTAGATTGCCATACCTTCTCATTCTGGTTCTCGAAGGAATCTAGCAACTGACTACTTTGGATCGCTTTTTACCATGGCATCATTTCCGTCAGAAATTGGCAGAAGTCATCGATAAGATGACGAAATATGCCAATCTGAAATCTAGCTTTACTAATTCCCTGCTTGCTTATATTGTCTATGCCGTATGTTCTAGTCCCAGCACTAAGCTTGTGTAAGCATATGGTAGTAACTGGCGTGTATATATAACCCTTCTGTGCAAATGGATAGATGTAGGCGCTAGTTAGAAACTTAGAATGTCATAGTCGTTTATGCATATCTCAGCAATGCAAGATATAGCCATCCGCAAGAGAGTCAATTCGCCGAACCAAGCCATACAAACTAGTTGGTCACGTCATCCCATCTTTGCTCATCAGTGGACGGGACAGACGCTGCTTAGGCAGACCGTAGACTAATCAACCACCTCTCATGGAGCTGTTCACTAGCACGTAGACCGGGTGGAAACGGTATAACTGTCTTGGCTTGGCACAAACGATGCGCAACTTGGTTATAGGTAAGGGTTGTGGATTGGTTCACCTAGCACCCAGCGAGCAGCGTGCGCGCCAAAAAATCCAAATTGTGGAGATCAGGTGTATTGGAGACTGGTCAAAAAACTGAATGCATAGGTGCACAGATAGTGAACAGAGAACGAACCAAGTGCATCTCAAACGAGGTGACAAAGATTGCGAGGGCTAGGCGAACGGAGGAGAACTGGGGTGACTTAGCATGAAGCAGTTTCAACGTAGTCCTATGGATGGCGGTAGCGTTAAGGATATTTTTTGTGTCAAAACTTCAAAGTAAACGATTATTGGAAACTAAAATAATACGCTATGTATAGACACTAGAAATAAACATATATTTAGGTGGAATTTTTCTCTACAATTTAGTTCAACATTTGTTTGGTTTGTGTTGCAGCAATCGTGCTCTTTTGTCCTCGATGATGGACTGTAGGAACAGATGTGTATGGCATGTGCGTGGCTGCCTAACGATAAACGATGTTAATTACTCGACGATGCGACGCTGAGTCCAAACGAGTGGTATGCTCAAACATGTACAGTGGGCTTTGCATGGAACTGGTGATTGTTCATTTTTCAATGGAGTTAAAAACCATTTTGGACTAACTACATTTGAATATACTAAATGGTGATACAGTCACCTGTCCAACTAAAGTAATAAGGCCATCTATGAAGCCGTCGGCCTTCATGTAAGTTATTCTCTCAAAAAGTTTCACCCTCACTTATTTGACCCATCAGGCCGTGTGCCGGTGTGGGGTAACAGCATGCAAGTCATCACCTCTTTAAACTCTCTTTGGAGCTGTTTATACTTGTATATTATGGATACTCAAGTCATCTAGCCCGTTCAATCGTTTGGCCCTTTATGAACATAACGTATGGCTGCATACAACATGCACAGTACTTACAGTACAGTGTTGCTTTCGGGAAAGAAAAACTTATAAATGGAGGTCAAACTCAGAAAGAGAGACATTGCGCCATAGATTGGAGAAATCGTCTAGTAAATCAGAAACTTGTGCATATTAGTACATAGGAGAAAATTTGATTCAAATAATGCTGATTGCTTTGTAATGTTCAATTAAATGTGTTTCGGCACCAAAGCCTCTCCAAAAGCTTTTCGAAACCTCATTGGATCTGGCTGATTCTGTCGGCTGTATAAAGCAGGACAATTAAGAGTTTAATAAAGCACAGTAGATGAATGCAGACAGAGAGATAAGATTCTGCAATGAAAAGTACCTAGGAGAAAGCTGCTACCTTGAAATGAAGCATACAATTGCTGTATGTCATAAATGATTCTATGGTTTATGGATAACGGAGTAGTGATCGCTCCTGAATACTGAGTACTGTATTGTGGGAGCAAGTGGAAATTCGAATCTGTATAACTCTATCGAAATATGATCAACGCGTCAAACAATCAGACCAGGTTTGACTTGTCATTACTCTGATCCCGGTTCGCGTTCTCAAGTGATGCCGTAAACAAGTTGACAGTAAGTTGGGACTCAGAAATGTGAGATATCAGAGGTTAATGGTTCTCGGAAGCTAACAGTTGAAGAATACACATCTAACACTCGTTTAAGCTGCTCCACGGAATTGGCTTCTCTTATGTGCTCTGGCAAACTGTCCAAAAAATAGACCACTCTCAGTTCAAAGTATGTATGATGGGCAACCCGCTGCAGATCTGGAACCACAAGCTTGTACTGGTGTCCGTGTGTACTGAGGGATATCCGAAAGTGGAGCAGTAGTATCAGTATGGGGAAGTCACGTAGATGAAGAATGCAGTAGATCATAATTAGGTCGACTTACAACAGACGATAGGACTGGGTGTATGCTTCAACTCGCCCGCACCTGTCCTCGTACGATAAGCCCTGCAAACTGGAGATGTGCCTAGCAGCGGCATGTTCGACCCGTTCGAACTTCTATGCCTCGTCTCGAGTGGTCGGGAAACAGGCGGACAAGCAGAATTCCAGCACTGTTTTTATTCTGGAGAAGAGCCGACTGACAACCTCTTCAGACCAAATGTAGAAACTGCGTTCGAGTGCCCAGAGCATGCACAGTCCGTTACATTGTAAGCTGTTCGGGTTGTCCACGGACTTCAAATCGTAATGTGAGAATACTCCTAGGTCCTTCACAGCAAGTCTTGGATGTAGCAGTTGGCCGTCAACAATATGAGTTCGGCCATCATTACCCTTTCACAGACCAAAGAATATCGAGTTGAATTGACTGACCGGGAGGCGGACTGCTGCAGACCAAATGGACAGACGGTTGAGGTCTTGTTGAAGTAGAACGCAGTCGTCGGAAGTGCCTATTACTCTCCACATCATCAGGTCGTTTTCAAACAAGGCTCACGGCAACGGAGGAAGATGTGGTATATGTCTGATATAAATCACGAACACTGTAGACACCAGCACCATGCATTGGGGTACGGCACTGATCGAAGCATACCAATCCGTCAGATGGCTATCAATTTGCACCTTTCACTTTCGTTCAAGGAGAAACTCGCGGATCCCTAGATGCAGTGCGCCGACAATTTCGCACACTCTCACCTTGAGAAGGAGAACCTCAAGTTCAACCTTGTCGAACGCTTTGCTGAAAGGTATGTTGAGCACGTCGACAGACTTCCCCTAGTTCACTGCCTGCAACCAATCATGCCTCGTCATGAGTAGGTTGGTGATGTATGAACGACCTGGCAGAAAGCCGTGCTGGGCGGCCATCATGAGGTCTTTTGACTGGAACAGTAGTAACAAACTATTCCACACAATCTTCTCGCATCATTGGCAAAAATAG